CTTTTGACTATTTTTTTACTCTTCATTAATACTTTCTCACAATTTTATTTTCTATTGCTAGGTTTTTTAATTCCCGTAAGAACTCTTTATTGTTGACTTGTCTTAATTACGTCATGTATTTTTACACAAAAGTTGAAAAAATGTTCGCCTTAAGAGGCTAATAATTGAGAATAAAACAATATAGGAATAAATAATTACGAGCAATTATTCATTTCAAACATTTTTGGTCTCAATTATTAGGGAGTACAGAACTCCAGTAACTAGATTAAAAGGAGGACGGTATTTAATCTTAAAAGAACAAAGCACTCGATTTGCCTTTCCGTCCTCCTCAACCTAGTTTTCAGCAATTTTAACTACTGGCCGCCGCTGGCGGCCTTATTTTTCAACAAAATGTCTACTCATCACCTTCACCTTCGGTTCGGCTATTGGCTTTTATGGCGTAAGCAATGGCTCCAAGCACTGCTGCCACTCCCACACAAATCAAAATTATACCTAATGGGGTTTTGAAGAATGGTTTTTGCGGATCTTTTGTTTGATTGCCACCTTCGGTTTTTTGTTTAGCCACTTTCATAGCATTTACTTTACTTTCTAAATCATTTATTAATTTGTCAAAAGTCGCCTTTTTGGTTTGTTCTAAACCTTCATAAACACTTTTATTCTCACCATCCTTGTATTTTCTTAAATCGGTCAATTGTTTATTTAAATTATCTAAATTATTCTTATAATCACTATCGCTATAATCACTTTCTAACTTCTTGAGAAAATTGTCCCGAATAAGTTTGGCTAATTTTTTGGCTTTATCATCTTTTCCGTATAAATCCTCCAATAGGTCAACACGAGGAATTACCTTATTTACAGTCTCATTATCAGTACCTTTTATCTTTTTGCGAGCCTCTCTAACTGCTTCTGGGGTATCGGCTGTAAGAATACCAGAATCTTCCACCTCTTTTTGGCGACCCTCAGTGAATTTTTCTAAATGTTTTAAAGCCCCTTTGGCAAAACCTTTACTCTCGGCTTCTCCTTTACGATTTTTCAGAAATTGATTTACCAAATCTCATTCGGTTTTATTATTTACCTCATGATTATTTAATTTATTTTTCAAAGTTGAGTCTCCATTTTGTTTTCCTCAAGCCTCATAGCAATCATCAAATATTTCTACTACTTTTTTTACAGCGGTCGTGCTAGTTAAGGAGTTCTTATTTTTTTCAATTATCTTATCACCTGCTTTGTCAACTTTACCATTCAAAGTAATTTTAGCATTAGTCTTGGCTGTCTCTAATTCAGCATTACTATCAACTCCTTTGGCTTTTTTTAGAGCCTCATCAGCCAGATTTTTGTTGTCTTCAGTTTTTACTTTATTAGCCATATCCCAGACCTTTTTCTTATCACCGGTATCTTTAGAATAAGCCTCTAAAGCGCTCCTTTTTACGTCATCACCATTTTTATAGGCTTTATCAATTAACTCGGCTAATGCTCTCAAATGATTTAAAACCGTTTTATTATTATTTTTCAAATCGGCACGGTTATCATCAAAAATACTTTTCAATTTATTTTTAAAGTCAGTGCCATTTTTCGAAGCAGCAACTACCGCATCGCGAGCCGTATCAATATCAGCCTCAGTAACTTTACCACCAGAAGTGTCTGTTTGTATCGCAACGATTTCGTCAATCTTGGCTTGGATTTTCTTTTCTCAATGTTCACCAATTTTCTTTTTGCTTGCATCAGAATCATCTTTTCATTTTTTCAATTCTTCCAACGCTTTTTTATCATCTGCTAATTCTTTTTTATCGTTATCTTTGTCCTTGCCAGAATAAGATTTTTTGCTGTAATTTTTCCACTCATCTAAGAAAGTTTTTGATAAATCGTAAGCCGCTTTGGCTTTGGTTCTTTCAGGATCTCCGGTTGGCGTAGTTGTCGCAAAACTATCCCATGCCCCTGTCCCATCAAAAGCATCGTTGGCCGGGTTGTATTGAAAACCAGACGCTCCAACATTACCATTTGATAACAAAAAGCCATAATAAAGATTTAAATGTCATAATTCATCTTTTCCCTCCACTTCATTGAGGAAAAGTTTGTAATAGTCCCCATCGTATCGGTCATCGTCTTTGATCCATTTACTATAGGTGTCATCGTCCTTTTTGTAAAAATGTTTGCCGAAAAAGGCTAAATCAATCGCCACATCTGCGTTCTTCGATCCCAACAAGTCGAAACATAATTTAGTTGGTGCTTCGTCGGTCTTGGTGCTGATTGTTGCGCCATCGTAAGCCCCAAAATGGTAAGAAAGGTCTTCTCCATGTCTGTTAAGGTAATTTCCACTTGCCTCAATTAAATCGCTAGGTCGCAGACCTCGGGTTTTGTGAACATCAGCGAAATCGTTGACTGGCATATTTTCGTAGTCAAGAGTGTCACCCTGTTTTTTTCCGAATCAACGAGTTGCATCAAGAAAATTAGTCACTTGTTTCGTACTATATTTAATTGTAGTGGAAGCATTAAATTCTTTGTCGTTTAGCCTTACATCTAGCGCATTAGTATTTGCTGGTGTTATTTGATCGCCACCAATAGCGACACCGAATACCTTGGCTACACTCAGAACTTTTTTCACATATTTTATGTTATTGGCATTAGTGGTATACCCACCAACTCCATCTAATACTGAATCATTATCTATTTTATAGCCCTCTACTATTTGTCCTTTCTGTCCTGCTAGACCAATTAAAGCGTGAGTTCCAGTTGCTCCTGGATTAGCATTTTGTCCCCGGTTTGAAATTACATAACCATTAGCATTGGCTTTAACAATCTCTTCTATCGTTTCGTATCCAGCCTCTTTTCAGATTTTAAATTCATTTAATAGAATAGTCAGCCGGTCAATTCGTTTTCTGTAATATGCTTCAACATTACCCCCGCCACCAAAAGTTGTTTTTCCTGGTATTTGGAATTCATCTAGAAGGCGAAGTATTTTTTTAGCATTGGGCTCGGTAATATTACCCGTATTATTATGGGTATAACTAGCAACATCAGCACCACCAGTTCCATTACTTAAATAAGGAGTTAATTTTGCCAAATCGGTAGTAATGGCCGGCGCGTCTGGCAAATTGCTAACGCTGTTATCTTCATACTTGATAAATATATCAGTCAACAATTTTTCTAAATCCTCAAACACTTTTTTCTCGTTGGCACCCTCGCCATATTTATTAGTCTCAAAACCGACTACACCAGTGGCTTTAGTAATATCAACATCATCAATTTCGACCACGGCTTTTGCCCGATCTCAATCAGTAACATCCCCGCCCGTGAAACTTTTTTCATCAAGAACAAGGTGACTATCAGCGTCAAACATTATTCGCTCAGTACCAGCATCAGTATAATTAATACTCTTTAAAGTAATCCAATCACCTTTTGTTGTTGTTCTGCTATCTGCGATAGCAACTTTTCACTGAATATAGCGAGCCACCTTTAGGGCTGTCGCCGTAGGCAATATTAGTTTAATTCCCGTAATATCGGTTACGAGAGTATTAGCATCTGTAGTTCCTGCTTTTGTTCTAATACTACTAGTGGTCTTACCTAGATTACTCATTACAGCACCATCAGCCTCGTTACGAACATCTTCACTTTCCAATCGATCCTGAGTGCCGGCGCCATTATTACCATGACCGGCATTAATAGTTATCGTTGTTTTACCGCCAGCATCATTATCTACTAATATTTCTCTTACATTAATTGTTATTCTTGTAGTCATATACTTATATTTATAATTTTATTATTATTATGTTATTGTTGAGTATTATTGATTATTACGATATATTTCTCCTTTTATTTTAGCACATATGTAAAATGTTTTCTCATCTTGTTATTGTTATTACTATGTATCATGGTTGAATTGTCAGAGAGAGAGAGAGAGAGAGAGAGTTTGGTTCTTCCTCTTTCTCTCTTCCACTCCCTTGATTTATTTTTTGCTACCATTAACTGTGCTAGCCAGCACCCAGTATTAGCAGACTAGATAACTGTTCCCATTCACTTTTTCGGTCAAAAATAATTAGGAGTAATTGGGATTAGGAAATTAACGAGAGTTAATTCAATGAAACAAACTAACCACTTCTGACCTTTCCTTTATTCATTTTTTCTCTAACTTTGTCATCATTGAATATATTTTATACATTTTTTTGTTCTGAAACCGCAATTTTTTTCTTGATCCAACCAGATGTCGGATAGCAGCGTTTTACTTTTTTAACCCAAGTTAGCAAGAAGTCCCCCATCCTCTTTTAGGTGGTGGGATGAATTGCTAAAATATAACATA